CATCCTCCCCAATTTTTGCTCGTACTACTGTCGACACGCCCTTTAAGCCGAACACCTTTTCTTCCAAAGTATTACAAGACATCGTCCAGCACATTAGTATCAACGACACGCCGGAACGTTATCTCCATAGCAATCAAACCCCCCATCGTTCAGCTAGCTTGCTCACTCCTCCCTCATCCGAAGAGCGCCCTCTCATTCAGTCACTCCCTGCGGAAAATTCGGTGGCTTCCAATGCAACCGAACCCTCGGTGAAGGTCTCTTTGGCCGAGAAGATTATGGCTCAGTCTGCGCTATATTCTCAAGCCATTCAAAAGCAGCAACAGCAACAACATTCGACATCATCGACAATCGCTCCCCCCAAGAACGCAAATTTTATTTCTTCTGTGGTGAATCCCCGTCCTCGTCCTTCTACACACAAGGGTCCATCCCCCACTTTTACATTCCATCGTCTCCAACAAAAGCAGCAGCAATTTCTCACTCGCAACTCTGTCAAGGAAGAACATGAAAACCCACATGATGAGGAACATGACAAGCCCATCGCTCCTTCCGACTTATCTATCGCTCTCACCGCAGTAGAACTTCCCGTCATAGATGAAGAGCCGAGTCAACACGACGACGAAAGAGAACTCAGTAATAGAGGTGTAGAGCGATCAAAGCCAGCAGCCCCTATCCCGAAGCCGGACCCTTTGGACAACCCACTCAAGTACGTGATTCCTTCACTAATCCCTTGGTCAGATGACTGAACTTACATTTCTCAGTACTACGAATGTTTATATCAACGGCCTTCCTCTACGATGGACCGACGATGACCTTTATCGTCTTACGAGGGGTTTCGGGGCTGTGAAAAGCGTCAAGATGTTTACCCGTCATCTCGAAGACAAGCCCTCGGCCTATGGATTTGTTCTGTATGTCGCTCTATTGTGCTGAGACAACTCTGACTGTGTTGTTTAGGTTTAATTGTGTTGAAGATGCCGAACGGTTCATCTTAACAATACGCCAACACACCCAATTCCACCCGTCTTTTGCAAAGGTTAGTGATGGTCGCTTCCCTACTCATAATGCCTAACTCTCGGTAGACTATGAAAGTTCCTGGAACTACTAATGCCAAGCACGCTATATCCGACCCCATTATTCCTGTATCATACAATGAGAGCTATGCCGATATCTCGATAACTGGCTTGCCTCTTACTATAGACATGAGGGTATGTGTTTATTTGATATATACAGAAACCAACTCAAATATCATCAGACTTTCCGTACGCTCTTTCTGCCGCATACGATCAAAGCTAGCAAGTTTTTCCATACGACGGGAACACCGCGTCGTTTAGTGGGATTCGTCAGGTATAGTAAAACATTAATTTGCACTTACAAGTCATCTGACCCTTCGACAGGCTCGAGGGGAAACACGCAGCAGAAGATATAATTGAGCGTCTCCACGGGTCCACCGTTCTCGGGTGGTCAGAGAAGCTCACAG